TCTCTTCTTACTACAAATGTTTTCGACAGGGAGAGGATGTGGTTGCAGGGATAAGAACACCAGAAGATTTGGACACAATGAAGAGAGTAATGCCCCAGGCTTACGCAGAACTCGTAGAGAATTGCAACATCTTAGAAAGACATTACAAAGACATGATGGTTAGTACCAAAATAATAATTTCTAATACTACTCATCCTAAATTCTTTAGTTTGAACAAAGGTCTTAAATGTGCATTGTAGGATATTGAATTCACGGTCCAAGAAGAGAGATTGTGGATGCTGCAATGTAGAACGGGTAAGCGAACTGGTGAAGGCGCAGTGAAGATAGCAGTTGATATGGTTAGTGAAGGGCTTGTAGACAAATCTTCCGCAATCAAAATGGTGGAGCCTCAACATCTTGATCAACTACTTCACCCACAGGTATGTATATAGCCTCAAAAAAGGTTCAATCTTTGAACAAGAAGGAATGTGTTTAAGCCCTTTAGGTTTAAGGGTCAAAACAGAGTTTGGGTTTGGAAAGTTGAACCAGAGGTCAATGAAAGTTTTGTTCTTTTTTGATGGATTAGTTTCGTGATCAGTCGGGGTACCGTGAAAAAGTAGTGGCGAAAGGTTTACCCGCGTCTCCAGGAGCGGCGGTTGGACAGGTTGTGTTCACGGCGGAGGAAGCGGAAGCTTGGCATTCTCAGGGCAAAGCTGTGATTCTGGTATAATCAAAACTCATAAATCTCTGAATCTAAAACCGATAAACTGCAAAAATCTCAATGTTCATGAGATTTAAAGGTTCGAACGGAGACAAGCCCTGAAGATGTTGGAGGGATGCACGCAGCGGAAGGAATTTTGACGGCAAGAGGAGGAATGACGTCACACGCCGCGGTTGTAGCTCGTGGTTGGGGCAAATGTTGCATCGCTGGTTGCTCCGAAATTCGAGTTGACGAAAACCTTAAGGTTTTGTTGATTTGATTTGTAAAAACATATGTCTCTATCTTTTGAAATTTCGGTTGGAAGATTGTTTCTCAAGTTAGGGTTTTGGAAAATTTGGTGAGAAATCAGGTTCTTGTGATTGGAGATTTGGCGATAAATGAAGGCGAATGGATCTCGATGAATGGATCAACGGGTGAGGTTATATTAGGGAAACAAGCATTGGCTCCTCCGGCTTTGAGTGCAGATTTAGAGACTTTCATGTCTTGGGCTGATGGAATCAGACGTCTCAAGGTGTTTATGAGTTTCTTATGAGTTGCTATAACTTGTTTGACACTCTTCAAGTTTTTTAAAGTCGAATATCTTGATTATCCGATAAGGTTATGGCGAATGTGGATACGCCTGAAGACGCGGTTGCAGCTAGGAAAAACGGAGCTCAAGGGATCGGTCTTTGTAGGACCGAACATATGG